AAAGAAACCCCTGGCGGGACTCGAACCCGCAACCTCCAGATACACTTCAGTAGTAGAAGTCTGACGTCATAACCATTAGACAACAAGGGCTTGTGTGGCAAGCGTTAAAGGACGTCCATCATCCTGAGCCTGTCATGGACCAATGAACTAGGTCAAACAAGGGCTTGGGCGGCAAGCATCAAAGGACGTCCATCATCCTCGTAGCTAGCTAAAGCCGCGCGTTCCCGACAAAGACCTCTTGCACTGGTTATAAATAACAGTCAGATTGTAATAGATTCACTTGAGGTGTGTTACCAATGGTTCTGAAGACCTCCACGAACAAATCAGATTGACCTTGACGGAGGAAAATGGCCGACAAGGCATGTGCTGTTAAACAACATACTTGGAAAATTTGTATTATTCGGGGCATCTGGACCAGTGAGTCATGATAGCAATAGCATAGCAGCACGACGACGAGAAGTATGCCAAATGGAAGAATGAAGATTGAATTCAATTACTTACACCTATGAGGATACCATGCGCTTGCGAAACGGTCGTTTCCGCAATTCTTCGGCCACGTAAACGTGGACCCGTGACGACAAAGACCTCGAGTGTTTAAACTCTCACATAAACAGCACAGAGCTATGTAGGGAATGCCACGTAGCATAGTGCTACGTAGTGCGTGGGGTCAATCCAATTACTTCGTCATCAACAGTAAGTTCCCCGGATTCCTGCATGATGGTAAAAAATCAGATGTGTCGTACCAAACCCGGCACCCAGCTTACCTCGTGCTCATAATGATCCCATGTTGCTGGGTATAAAATGGATCAGCAAGGTTCCGTTTTCCCAACCCACATTCCTCAAACGCTCAGCGTGCTCCACACTTTTGTCCCCCTGCACGCATACGTTCACCATGGAAAGCCGGGCCGTTTATAACGTATGATCATCTTTGTTGTTTGTTTCGATTGCGAGGGTTGAACAGGAGATCACTAGGTGTCTCGTCGCAAAGTGTACACTCCATCATATGTATATGATGGCGCCTCGCAGCTGTCATCCGTCTCATCCGATACTTTCGGGAGCTCAGACGAACACGCTGGATGCTGGTCATGGTGTAGTGGTCTTTGGCGTTGCTTCAGGTGCTGGTGACAGTCTGGTCAGTAGCCTGTCATAATATTGTTTGCACTGAGCTGATCATACCATACCTCTAGGTGAAGATATACCCTCTCACAATTAACAATTAAGTTAGAGCGGCTTGCATCCAGCGGGGATCTGGGTGGCATAGACGGCCAACACACTATGGAGCATTCGCAATCGGTCCCGTAGCCACACCTTGAAAGAAGGAAAACGGCGTTCCTTCATTTGCAAGAGTCGTTCTGCACCAATAGCAGAGTGAAGACCTATATATAGAATCAGCCAGTAGTAAAGCACGTACCACCATTTTGTACGTTAATACCAACTAGGATCCTTCTGCTCGCCCAGCGTAGTTGCAAACCTTATCATGGATTGACCATCTGCGACTACTTCCGTTGCGCCAGCTAAATAAAAGCACCGCTAGTGTGGATAGTCGCTCAGTACAATTATTGTTCGGCAGTCAAATTTCTATGTAAGCAAGTCATTGATTAAGAATGCATGCTGCAAAGGGGTGTTGAGCATACGTTCTGAGGAAATTCCCAGAGTCTAGTCGCGGCCCGAATTCTGCCGAAAAGGTTAGGATATGAAAACAAAATTCATGAGCTACAAATACAATGCAGATGGTTCTACCACTTATCACTGGTGCATTAGGGTTCATCTTTTGCTAGTACCACTGTCTCTACTTTTGTCCTCAAACCCCTCCAACCTGTCCTCGCCCCTGTCTGCTGAGATTCCGTAACAGGCAATTCTGTCAGCACCTTCGCAATGAAGTTCGCGTCCGTCAGAGGAGTCAAATCATTGCGACTAGGAAGTCGCTGGGGTTGTCGGTTATCAAGGGACGAGGTTACATAAGAGAAAGCACTAGACGCACCCTCTTAACGCCATCATATGGTGCCTCCCAACCGCTCAATTGACGTACGACTAACAAAGGTCTTGAGGTGAAAGAATGATATATCCTCGTGTCATGTGTGCGGAAGAGCACATTATCCACACGAAGCGTGAATCGCGACAAAATGAATATACATGTGGGCATGACACGCTTCAATCCGGGCTAGTCAGACAACAGAAAATCATAGGGTAGCAGCACGAACTATTCGCACGAGAAGGTTGGATGATCCATTATCGTGTAGTTCATCCTCAAAAAGAGGGATTTCCGCGTAGAATAATATTGGATCTGGTCGCGTGAGCTCAGAGAGCGGAATAGAATGAGATGGATTATCCTCATTGGCATCCGTCCATTGTATTGAAGGACTCGGCGATTGGATGTCTGGTGCAGAATCAGAGTGATGGCCAGGATAAGTCATGGTGTAAGTCCAATCATAATGCTTGGCTGCGACTGTAACAGGCAACGGAAGGCTCGTTCCAGGGTCTGTGCTGGTGAGTACGCTCAGAATCACATTGATACATATACAGCATAAATTCCTCACCGGCTCTTAAGCCAGGCATCCGCGTAGCCAACCTTGACTCCACCGTCGCCCTCCCCGAGCTCACCCTTTTTCACACACTTGAGGGCATTATGAGTGTCAAACATCATCTTCCACCCGGATGGCTGATGTTCGAGAGATAGATAGTTACTTCCAAACGTCATCTCGGGCAATGGGAATCCTAGCGAAGCTTGCAACGCGTCGCACTCCGACGCGCTAGATATCGGGTTAGTGGACGCGATTATCACCCAATCATTGATTTCGATTGTACGTGAGTTGGGAGTCTCTGATAGCTTGTGTTGTGGTACTGCGATTGCTGAGGACATGACTTCAGCAAGAAAGTAGTCCTTTGATATGATCTCCTGGTAAGTAACCGTTGTCGCCGTCGTGGCCGTCGTCGTCGAAGGTGATCAACTTGAAGGTATTGATCGGAGTTTCAAAAGTATAAGTGTAGGTACTTCAAGTACACGAACTCGCCTAGAAGTACAACGGAGATCATGGAAGGATCTCGTCCAGCGACACCGGAAGCACCCCCAGAAAACCTATGGTCGTCAATATTGGACTCAGTTTCCTCTTCACGGTCAATCCCTTCAAAGCAAGTTCTACTTCTAGGTCCTTCTTCGTCTGGCAAGTCCGTGCTTGCTTCAGCCTTGCTACAGAAACCAGTTGCTGAGGAGAGCAAAGACGAGACACGGTCAGATTTCGCTCTTGGATATGATTGGGCCGATATAAGAGATGACGGCGACGAGGGTGTGCTTCCAAAAATTTATGTATATGAAACGTGCTAATGCCGCGACCAGACACTTTGGCGCGTCTATCAGTGTACACAGTGCCTTCAGATGCAATAGCTTATACTTCTTTGATACCACACTTTCTGCCTCCTCGGGTATCACTGCCTCACACCCTTGTAATGATTGTTTTGGATTGGACGCGCCCTTGGACATTTGTAGACAATCTTCAGACGTGGCTCAAGTGGGTAGAGATGTGGGCGAAGGGTGATGGATCTCGGGATCTCGACATCGTTCGCGAAGAGAATCATGAAAGACGTATGCTCATTTGATTGAGACAATCCGATAGCTGACATTATCCCACAGTACAACATCATTTACAGCATTACACTGAACCCTCCGTCGATGCAGTCCCTGCCACCTCTAATATCTCCTCGAATACAGTCCTACCGCTCGGCCCTGGCACTCTAACCCACAATTCTGCCGGTGTGCCGATCATTGTCGTCTGCACCAAATCAGACCTGATAGACGAGGGAAATGATCTCGTGGGCGCCAGCAGTTCCGGCATGGGCGGCATGGTAAAAGGTAAAGGTGGTGAGTGGGAGGAACGCACAGATGGCGTGATGCAAGTTCTCCGAACGATTTGTTTAAAATGTAAGTTTTTCTGTAAACCATAGTGAGCACCTCATCACACTGCTTTAGATGGAGCATCATTATTTTATACTACGCAGCAACCTAACACATTACTGGTGCTGAGGCAATATGCCCTGCACCTCTTATCTATCCCACCGGCACCGTCCCCCATGGCATCCGGATCCGAGGCTCCAGCTCCCCTGCGCAATCCATTTGTCTTTCATTATAAGCCAAATACCCTAGACCGCGATCGCATTGTCGTTCCTGCTGGTTGGGATAGTTGGGGCAAGATTGGCGTCCTTCGAGAAGGGTTTGAGGCGAAGGTTTGGGGCGAAGCTTGGGAAGCAGACCTTGATGCCGACGTGATGGAGTCCGAGGATCATGCGGGTGCAAAAAAAATGTACAAGATGCTAGTACCAGATCAAGGCGCGAAGGTGAAATATATTATTCTGGTAATCTGGCACAATGACCTCATTTTTTCGCGCAGTCACCCCCTTTACCTCCGTTTAATGCCCCCATGGCAGAGCAGGCGTTCCTCGCGAAGCATTATGACGAAAACGCCAAAAAGCCAGACCGAGATCCCCGTGGCGCTTTCCGAAATCCCACGGATACGGCTGCAGCCGGTATTGTTGGACCACTGGGGAGCAGCAGTTTCAATCTTCCAACCGTTGAGCGTGCCCTCAGTGAGATGGAGGCCGGAATGGGAATGGCCAGTTCACTCAACACCAGCACGACCGCCGATGGAGCACGCAGACTATCACAGAGAGCTGCGACGGGTGCAAACGTGACCACCCACGTTGGACGACCACCAAGCTCACCGACCATCGGAACTTCGCCTAGTTCTACTGGAGGACAAACTCAACATGAAGTCTTGCAAAACTTCTTCCAAAGTTTGCTCAGCTCACGGGATCGCGGTGGCACCAGCGCAACAGCTAAGAGCATGGGCTCCAAAACAAATGGCAATACTAGTGGCACAGACGATACGAGCTGATTGCATTCTTCTGGTGTACTTTAGACTAGTGGATTTTGTATCATACAATTTTTGGGGGCAGTGGACACATTATTATTGTGTGTTTTCGGAGAATAAACAAATGACCAAACAAAAGCGACCGTCACCTTAAGGCCCACCTCATCAACAGGCAGCCGAAATTTGCCACAGCAAAGTTCGGTCTTAACTAGTTTCGTCTCGCTAACTTGTCAGCCTCGTTGTAACCGCGTTTCCCCTAACACCACAATATGGGCAGATGGTGTGTTCATCTAATCAGTTCAAGTCTATCTAATCACGAACGTTCCGGCGTGTAGGACAGCCGAATATTATGACGAAGTGTTCAGTGCGAAAATGAGGAGCTTGGTGTATGGGTGTCCTCTTACTACATAACTTCTCGCTAAGGAGACCTCTGCTTTGCTGCAGCTCCGGAGCAATCAAGCGCCATAGGCTTGAGAAAACTGAAACCACGATAAGCTATGAGCATTTTGTAGAGGACTTAGACGGTGGTGACTCGTTTACCACTTCGTTGGTTGAGATTCTGGTCAAGGTGCGCTTCCTTCGCACACCCTTTGTCGACTTCTCACCTTAGCTACAGGAAGTGGCAGACCGACACCATCGTCAGAATGCCACTGACCGTGGTCTTATTGGAGATCCCACCGCTAAAGCGCTGAGGAGGTTATCTAACCCAACCACTACATACAGGGAACGGGAACGGTATACTTGGCGCGGGACAGGTGGTCGAAGAGCAGTGGACCTTTCAGACTACTTGTCACGACCTCCAGATGAACTCGAGATGGACGAAGAGGCTGATGAGCTCGAGTCACTAGAGCAGTATGGCCTCGTGCAACTCGAGGGCACACGCAACAACACTGAGTTATATGAGGCGTACCGGCATCCTCCACGGCCGAATCCTTCAACAGCCTACCATGCGTTCTCTCCTGCTTTTTACACCGTACCTGCACCGCTTCCAGCTCCTGCGCCAGATTCTCCAAGTGATAGGGTACTTCCTCCTCTACTTGATTCGCCCCCTGCTCCACGACTCGGTGGCTTGACACTTCCATCAGCGAGTGGCCTGCTCCATACCTCACTGAGTCGACAGCCCTCCATTCGCCGTCCCGTCAGAAGCAGAACAGCAGATTTCAGTGACTTCAGCGCACGGCGTCGAAATTCTTCGCGACATCTAGCTGATGAAGAGGGCCCATCGAGACTCGATTCATCTAGCACATTCCCTGGTCCACATGTCAGTGCACCCAGGGAGGATTCCGACCCCCCTTCATCTGGACCGCCGGGCCATGCCAGGCGGTTTTTCCCTTCCCGCTCACGACGCTTCGAAGTCATTCCCACACCTCGACCTGTCCCCAGTACGGGTGAAGACTGGCTCTTCCCACCGGCCCCGTGGTCATCATCCCCATCAGACCGCACTGTGTCCTTGGCACCCGATAGCCAAGTTGGTGAAGAGCGCTCTCAGGCTCCTCGGCTCCGGCGAGGCGGCCTTAGAGCACCGGAATCTATGCTCTCACGGCACATTTCGCCTGCCACCAATGCAGAGCTGGCACTGAGGGTATCAGAAGAGATGGCTGCTATTGAGAGCGCAGAAGCCGAACATCCAGAGCAGACACGATCTGTATCGGAAGAGATATTACAATCTATTGGTGGACCATAGACTCGTAGAGATATGATTTATTCCTGTCGACAGGATATTTGTATTATTTTTACTTTTACGCCTACACCTTGCATATGTTCGTAGCACATGCTAGCAAAACAGAACCTTCTTTAGACGGGTCTTACTGAACTCGTTGAATCACAAGCCTGCCACGTCTAAAGCGTGCCCGGATCTTACTTAGATCTGCATGCATCGCATTCGAACACTAGTCATGTGAATTGGGGTTATAGTAGCCAAACAAGATCCATTCCAAACATCCATGATCAAGAGACGCAACAGACCACAGCCACGGGTACGAGAAGCATCGCCAGACACAGAGCAACCTTCAGAGCTAGAGGAATACGAGGACGAAGACAAATCACTCCCGTACGTTATGACCCATGAGCCAGTCCAATTCGGAGAATTAAAACACAGATAGCATTTCGGAGCTCATCGAGCTTAGGAAGCTTAGGAAGTCCAGACAAGGAATTGATGTTTCAAAGCTATCAAAAGGCGATGCCAAGAAGAGGAAGCGCAAAACTGCAGAGGATGGACAAGAGATCGAGGGCGGTCTGAGAGCTGGTGCGAGAGTGGATGAGTGCGTAAACATGATACTCTGGTGTTCGTAGTTCCGCTCACTCTGAACACACAGGGAAGAAGCCAGTACAGATGCGAAAGCAAGGCGAGCCGTCCGAACGAGCAACTTTACGCAGCAGACCAATGTTTTGGATGTTGACAAACACATGTAAGTGTGGTCTCTCTCTCTCAACTTCTATTCGGGGGTTCTGACGTGGATGTAGGATGGCATACATCGAAGAGAATCTGAAGATTCGCAGCCGCCCCTCAGACCCATCCGAGTCTAAGCCTGGGACAAACGCTCAAGATCAATTTTCTCTTTCCGAGCGGTGGAAAGGAGAGAAGAAAGCTGCAGATGAAGGCAATGTTACTAACAGCATGGCCATGCTAACCGCCATTCCCGAAGTTGATCTCGGCATGGAGTAGGGTTTCTTCCATTCTAATCCATCTGCTTTGGCTGACTTATGAGATAGCGCACGATTGAAAAATATTGAAGAAACTGAGAAGGCGAAACGACAAGTTGCTGAAGTCCGCAAAGAACGCAAGCGACCTAATGATGAGGAGCATCTCGTTGCAACTCGATGTTCGTTGTCTCTAGCTTGCTGTTGTGAATTCACTATTGATGAACTACTTAGTCTACCGGCCACATCTCAAGCAGAAGTCAGACGCAGAAATCATGCGAGACGCCAAACTCGAAGCAATGGGTTTACCACCTCAAGAAGATAGAAGACCTCGCGGTGAACGTCCACAAATGGCGACCGACGAAGTGGTATGGAGACATTGGTCCATCTGTCATAATGATTTACTCATGTCTCTCAGGTCATGGAGCGCTTCAAGAAAAGAATGCGCAGGTGAACTACTATCTCTTTCCTGCGAATGATCTCTCGCTTTGTTTTCAGTATCACCTGGTTGCCTCGAATCGCTCAGTCTCTGGAGTACCTCTTGCTCGTTGTTAGGATTTGCGGACAAATATATAACTTAAATCCTGTCTATTCCATGGCCAAGACCAAATCCTTCAACTTTTCGAAGTTGGGTGTACCGTATCCAGTGACTGCAGTGATTGTCAGTGTATAAACATGTAACTTTGCTCGCCGCATCCATGAACTCACCAGGATCCCATCCAACCGTGGCCTGCCGACAGTCATCACATCAGTCGCTGAGGATCGTGGAACATGGATATGACATACATTGAAGCCCTCAGTTTGACATCCTGGGTTGCGACCCTCGGTGATATCATTCAATGCTGTGTAGCCAGTGGAATACAAGAAAGGGTTCAAGAAACCAAGAGGAGACTTTCCGGCAGAAAGACGTGCATCGTTCAGCATCGAAACGAACGCAGTGAACGTAGGCGCAGCGCAGGATGTACCATCCACTGGTGTCTCCTGGCCTTGGTAAATTGTCAAGAAGTTTACTGCTTGTGATGACACGTCGGGGTAAGCCTAGGGAAAAAAATTTCACAAGACTTCCACAAGTTGAGGGGTCAACTTACGCGTCCAGTGCTGGAGATGAGTCAATTGAATATATGCGTTTGCCAGCTCGTGATGACTTACGAGTTGTAGAGACCTTTGTAGGTACCGGGAGCGAGCGTTGCCAAATATGCTAAGACAGCATCATCCTGGTATGAAGGACGACGGAACTAGCGTGAACGTGTTCTATCGGTCAGGAGGTGTTGCGGAAGGCAGAGATCACGCACATAGTTACTAAATCCGCCACCGGAAAAGTTTGCCGCAGTCTCGGGAATGTTGATAGTTCCACCAACAACAGTCACACTTCAAGCAGCAATTGATGATTTGGCCCAGTGCTCATTCAGACGACTTACCATGGGCACGAAGCAGGGAACGTAGGCAAGAACATCGGGGTCTTAAGACCATCATTGGAATAACACTGGTGCTCGAGAGGTTTGTCAGGATAGGCAACACCGTCACCCACACCCCCGTCGCCAGACGAGAATATCACTGAGACACCACGAGCACCGAGTGCTGCCATGCCATTGCAAACACGAGTTGCGTAAGACCGCGGGACGGATTGCTCATCGTCACCATAACTTGTGGAGATCGATTGGGGAATTGTATCCTGCGAAAGGACATATTCAAGCCACTGAATATCTTAATTGTCAACATTGAATTGTAACCGCAATCGCTCGAACGCACGTATGAGTAGGGCTCGTTAGTATCACTTTCCGTCAACAAATCAGGATCAAAAGGAGGCTCGCCGCCGGTGGTGTAGAACGTTCCGGGCGTGGGCCAAGTGAGCCCAAAGCCGAACTGAGTGTCAAGGTTGGCCTCTATGCCTGCTGCTTCATAGCTCTGGTTGTTCTCGCCCCCTGCGAAACACAACAATAAGGCATCGCCGACAGTAGCTCAATCTCGACATACCATTAATGGACACGGAGGTGTAGTTTGAGCCATAAGCAGATGGGTTCTGGAGCTGATAGAATTGCTGAAGATCCATGTTATTTGTAGACTCGTTAAGATAACCAGTAATACCAAGAATATTGCCGTTGGTGGCAGACGTGTTATAATCCATCGCATTATATAACTGTCTCAAGCACGAAACAGTGATCGTGTTGTTGCAACTCGCATCAACCTGGTTGCCTGCAGGCCCTGTGATCGTTGAACCAGATGGACTCGAATCTATAGGCTGCACATGATTAGTCCAGTGCAGCGTGCTCTTGAACGCCTTGAAACGAGCGAACATGGTAGTGGGCTGAATGAGATCGACGTGGTCATGCAAGATCTCAGGGAGACTGTAGCTCATGGTTCGGATGATGCTCTCTCCAGTCTGAGCATGCTTGTAAACATGATAATCCTAGGCATCTAGCAATCAATACAGATCTTCGCAAATGGCATTCACTTGCTCACAGTAGTCAGCATCTCTTCTGCGAGACCGACAGGGACACGGATAGTAACCCAATCGTTTGCAGATGATAGGGTGATATCTTCTTCCGCTAAACCGTGCAAGGCAAGCCATTTTCTGACGACAGCCAGGGTCTCAGGGTGGGGAGCCATAAGTTCTTTGGTCTCCTGCTTCGACAGGTGCGCCCCATAACGTGCGTGGCTTGGGTCGCTTACTTCCCAGAGGTGTTGCTCAAGTACCGGGAACTTGGGTTGAGGCAGAGCGATCTTGAGCTCGAGTATGTGATGCTTTGGTGCGGGAACATACTTGTACCACCCATTAGGTGGACCATGGATACTCTCTTTCACCTTTTGCTGGCAACCCTCGAAGAGTATTGCACTAGCCAGGGTAGCCACGAAGGGGAGACTAAGCAGAGCGAGTCTCATCGTCAGCATGTAACAGCAGGGGAAGCCCACGAGAAGCCCACGAGCCAGTCGAAGTTTGCATGGTTAATTTATATCTGAGAACAATAAAGCGAATAACGTTAGGTAATCTAAATTGATTCTTGTTACGTTACTAGATTTCGTTGACGGAAAATGTGTTCTACATACCGTAGTTGATTACTTCATGACACGAATGACCAAAGCTAAATGTATCAGGCGTCAAGATCACCATACTGTGGGTATGAGCACGTACACCGATAAATCCATCATGTTCTGCCCTTGCGTAGAGGATATGCGGATAAGGTGCACGTTAATATTAAAAATCCTCCACTCATCAGGAACTCCGTATGTGTCATACGGACCATAATGGGAGAGTCCCATCATCGCAAATTCAAATACCAGCAATTCTGGATGTATTCCTTTCTTCTGATATGAACCTCTGATGGCCGCACCACTCGTGGTAGATGCAGTCTGGACCAAAGCCACCTCATGACGTCCCTGTGATTCGAATTTCGCAATATTAGTGCCATTCGTCGCTGTATCTGTCGACCTCGGACAGTGACATATATAATGGATCAAGCAAGGTGCCAGTGGGATAACAAGTAGTACTGATCGAACTTACTGAGTGAAAGACTTATCAGCGTGACGGTCAATGTTGCCACGGAAACAAATGCGAAGAACTAGAACGACGCGAGGCACTACATGTTGCGGGCCTCTATATTTCGCACTACTCTTAAAATGATGTCAATAACCACCAAGTGAAGCAAAGGATACGAGCCAACTGCAAGTGCTGTCGGAAAGTGAGAACGTCCAGGAAATAGACAGTTTTGCGGCAAGTATGTCAGACTCTGGAGCATATCCAAGTCTGAGTTTGGGGGCCGGCATGAACGCTTCCCGACTCCCGCCCTATCAATTATATGCGCCTGCCGCCCTCATACTTACCATCCAATTACCCGTGCTTGAAGTTCGGGGTGCAGTACATGAGCCTCAGGAAGAATTGAAGGCATTTTCGTGGCGACCAAAATTTCCCCTGGGAAGCCCCATGTTTAGTTAGGGAGTGACGACGATCTTGTAATCAGTGGAATACATTCCCTAGTGGTTCTAGGTTCGAGACTGATGGCGTCGACTGACAGTCGATGAATAAAACTCCGACTAAAGCTAGCCGAGTGGCTTGCACGTCCCCAAACTCAGACCGGGACTACTATAGAAAGTCTGGCAGATGACAGAGACTGTGACAGACTCTCAGGGGGTTTATATCCAAATCTATTCTGGGAGTGTGCCAGCCGCTTGACT